TATTACAGCTGTGATGGGGACAGGCTTTGGGACAGAAGGTAAAACTGTATATGCAATCTGGCACAGGGAAGATAAAAGAAAGAGTGACAGGGAAAGGACATGAGAAAATGGAGAGAGACCAGACAATGATGATTTTCCAACAAAACCAAAGAGGATTCTGAGTGGACTCAAAGCCAAGAATCGGGACAGTTCTGACTGGCAAGGTTTAACCTTGCCCACTAGTCCACTGTGACATGTTGAGAGAGCACCCTTTCAAGACCAGACCAATTGGTCCCGGATTATTTTCACTCCCAAACAAAACAAACTGTTTAAGTTTTTCTTTTTTCAACACTTGGTTTTCTCAAGCTTTTTATACTATCAGGACCCATGCCAGGGGTTCCTGGTTGTAGGTGAACCTAACTTAACACAAGTCCCTCCGGGTGTGAAGCGCCCCCTCCCTCAGGGAGGGACTTGCGCACAAAGTCAAATTTCTTTGAGGGACAGGAATCACAAATGGCTGGAGGGAAAATTATAAGCCTCAGCAATCCCCTCTCTGACTCCCTATGGACTTGCCCCAGAGCCAAAAGATACTTGTGCAAAAAGTACCCACCAAGGATCCACAAACATTCATCCATTGTGGATCCTGGAGCTGCATTCTGAAAATCTTTGAAGATACTACAGGAAAGATTTGTTGCTTGTCATTGCTATGTAACACTTTATTCTCCAAAGACCTTACAACATTTGCAAATACTTCAGAAAATCTGAAAATGGATTGTCAGAGATATGGAAGATGCTTTAGTCTCCATTTGACCCCCAAAATGGATTACTCAAGTCATATTTTATTCATAAGCTTCAAAAGGTTGGGAGACATTGCACAAGAAGAGAACCAACAAAATTGCCTGTTCAAAAATTGTGTGAAGATGTGATGTGTTTTTTTAAAAAAATAAAAAGGAGTTTTGGGACTGAAAATCCCTCCTGTCTCTGCAAGCTTTCCAACATAATTCATAAGCCTCTCCTACGGAGAGCGCTCCGCGTGGGGTCCCCTGACCCTTTGTTCAAGTGGATTTGTTAATCTAGTAGGTGAACTGAATGGTGGCCATCTTGGAAACAACATGGGAAACAAGCACACCTTCCCCCAATCAGCTCGGATTTGGGTTTGTGGAATTGACAACAAACAAGCTTGGTTTGTGGAACCAACAGCAAATTCAGGCATTACAAAAGTCTTACAGAGCCAATCTTGTCTGTTCCACCAATTGGCTGAGTTTTGTTGTTTCCACAATCCGGGTGGTAAGAAGTAGGCCTGAGGTGTTACTGTAAATTGAGAATTTACAGAAAAGAACACAGTCAGTGTAACAAAATTTGATGACCAGCACAATAAAACACAATTAAGGCCGAGCTTGTACAGCCTCTCCGTCGAACGCACGAAGTGTGGGAGAGGCTTGAGCCCAAAACGAACACGACTGGGTGTCACAGTTGAGTTTTTCGGCTGTTTTTTGCGCCAAAAATCATAGAAAATCCAGCTTTTGGATTTCTTGAAAGCTGAGATGGAGTGAAGATGCCCAACATGGAGGTCTTGACTTCTATCAAGAAACTTTTGGTAAAAAATGAAAACTACACAGTTGAAAAATTTTAAAGGAAAATTTGCCCAATGGCAAATTGGCTGAGCTTACATAAGCCAGTTTCAATCTCACTGCCTACCATGTGAAAACATTTTCTCAATTTGACCAACTTAAAAAAGATCCACCTCATCCAATTTTCAAGATGAAGTCCTGAAAATTGGATGAGGTGAGAGGCATCACCAAGCACCAAAAGCTTGTCTACTCAAATCGCCAATAGCTGGTGATGTAAATGCTGTACATCCAGCTCAATGTGCGTTACACCAAAAGTGCCCAACCGTGACACGTGGGCCTGTTTGTGTTTGTCATAAGTCCCTCCTTCGGAGGCTCGCGCTTCGCGCGAGTGGTGTTCCACGCCAGCCAAGGCCACCAGGCCCTCCGAAGCGAGGGACTTTGATAAGTTCGAATTAAGGCAGGACATGGGTGAGCCCTGGGTGAACACACATATTTCAATCTGAGCAAAAATGCAATTTTCCTGCATGAAATAATTGGGTTTTTTCTAAATAATTCAGTTTAGATACCATTTGCATGGTTATTTCTACCCAGGGTATAAGTTATAACATTGGGAACCTTTTATCTCCATTTTCCAAAAAAAAATCCCACTGATTCTTGGCATTTTAGCTGTTTTATTCCATCTTTTTCTAATTTTTCCTCAAATTTTCCAAGATTACTACCAATTTCATAAGGATGATGGTGGAAAACAAAACTGAAATTTCCCAAAATTGGTACCAAATTTTCATTTTTCATCAGCATCTTTTTTGGAAGAAAAAAATGGTTTTGCTACATTTTTCATGTGTGTGTCTGACAGGGGCTTTTCAGGGTCCTAGCAAGGCCTATTTTTTGAAATTGGGGTAGAATTGTGAATACCAAGCATGCAATTTGGCATAAACAGTTTGAATTTATTTATGAAAGTGTTATGAGCCATTGGAGCTGTAGCCTGGACTTCTACATATCTACATAGCCTGTTATGCACATGTCACAACTCCCTGACTTGGAGTTGGTTTGATATTCTCACCTTGTGTACATATTCCTCATCTTGCAGCCTACCATCAAGAAACAGAACCCAGACAATCTGTTCCTCTTCTCCGCAGAACACTCATAACAGAAAGCTTTTTTCAAAGAGTGAACCCTTCTGAATGATTCTCAGTTTCAAATAAGTGTGGAAACTAGGAGAAAATTTCTTGTATAATACTGCCTATGGAACACACAGGCCCTCAAGATGTACAGTTTTTACCTAATATTTGTATAATCCACCCTTGCATGTGCTTTAGAACCAATGAATCTTGCATTCACATATATCATAAGTGAAAAAATTGAAACCACACAGATCTCATAAGTTTCAGCCAACTCAAGAAGAATTTTTCTATATACTATAACAAGATTGGCCAGCCATTAGCTTGAAAATTTCAATGCTTCAAGAAGAAATATTGAATGTTCAACCTGAATAGAAACAGAAGACTTCTTTTTAAAACTCTTTTTTCTCCTTCTCAAAAAAACTAAGTCTGTCTGGAAATCTTCTCCCATTTTTAAAAAAAAAATCACAGACATAACCATTCAAGCATTAATGCAACATTTTGAAAGACAATAAAACTCAGATTATAAGCAAGATAATCAACAAGTTTAACAAGGATGAATTATAAAAAATTGATTGAAGAAACTTTTCAGATGAAATTGATTGAAATCATTGGCATTCATTATGTTTCTCCAAGGAAAAAAATAATAAGATGAATTTGTGTGTTGTGAGGGGCTCTGAGACTGAATGGTCTGGGCACATGATGGGTAGCTGGAATCATCTGCTTCTTAGTGACTGTGAGTATCATTTTTCCTGGAACATATCTGCTTAAGATTGTAATTTTCTCCCCTATTGTCACTCAACCTTGAAACAGTTTTGTGTAAATCTGATTCTGTGGAGGGACACCAGCAACTGAATCATCAACTGAGGTTGAGATATAGGATTAATCAATCAAACAGATTTGAATAAAACTTTTTAAGGTTTTCAAAACTGACTTTTTACAAGCTCTACATGAAAAGTTACATGAAAAGTTCAAATATCAAATCTATGAAGAATCAGATTTCTCTGTATTTGGCCATTTTTTCAAATTTTTGTCAACAATTTTTACCACCCTTGGTTTTGAGTAATGCAGCAAATTCAACCTTATATGGCATTGATCAAAATTAATCCAAAAATTTAAAACACGACATTGATAATGCTGTTCTTTCATTTATCTACTACCCAATTGAATTCTCTAGATAGCCCACAGACAAGTTGAAAACATATAAAAGATGAAAAATTCTTTGGAAATTCAAGATGTTCGATTTCTGGGCTCAAGAGTGGAAGAGGTTAGGGCCAAAAAAAGGAGTTCTTATTTTTGGGAAGGGCTCATGGAAAAAGAGTGTAAAGAAACAGTGTTTTTTATTCACTAGCATCTAGTCATGTTTCAAATAGACTAAATACAATCGGTGAAAAAGTGGTTGTGAGAAATGAATAGCAAAAACATATTGAATAAAAACTAAGAGGAAGAAACATGAGTTTTTGGAAGAAACAAACCGGTCAAGGCTTCTCAGTCTCTTTTAGACAAGCCGGATAAGTTAATCAAAAGAAAGCATGTTATAATCCACAAATCGTTAGAGCCGTTAATTCTAAGTCATCAGTTTTAAATATATCAATCAGAAAATCAGGAAAGAGAAGAATTTATCACAGAGACATGAGTGGTTTAGAATAGCTGACTACTTGAGCTTCAAATTTGACTCAGAAGGGCTTAAACCAACCAAAAACAAGCTACTTGAGAAATATAGACTGGTCTGATTTTTGATAACTAGAAAGAGATGAAGGGCAGGGAGAGACAGAAATGAGGAAAATTCAACACAAGATATTGTCAAAGTTTCCAATTATTGTTTAGAAATCTGGTCAGATTGTTTCATCTTTTGATGTGCAAGTTCATGCTCCTACCTGTATGAATGCCAGACCTTTACCATCAAGAACTTCGAATCCAACTCCATCCATAGAACTGGTTGCAGTATAGATGAATGCAGCCAGCCCAGTGATGAGCTTGACACAATTATAGCAGGTCTCCAATAACCCCTCACAGGCTTGGGTCATAAAAATTGGCTTTTTTGACACAATTGTTTACTTTGTGAAACCTCTGGGGTAGGTGATTTTCAGCATGTAAGTACTTTTTTGTGATTATGATTGTGGCTCCGTTAGGATGCCCTGTTTTACGCTATAGTTGTGCTCGCTAAAAAGAAAACCCTGGCAAATTGCACTTATCCATGGGAGTCGCGCGTTATAATTACCAATTTATAGCATAAAACTGATCGGTCGTCTAAACTGTGCATCACGTGGTGTTGGGTAATTGGCTGAGCGTGTTCGGGTAATTGGCTGAGCAGTCGGAGGGTATCCCAGGAATGTGGGGTTTTGGATGGGTGATGTGGGATCACCGGAGACTGAAGATGGATGATGGGGGCTCACCAGTGTGTTTCCATTGCAAAACGTTACTGGTCAATCATTTCTGGTGACGCAAAAATGTACTTAAATTTTATCCTGCGCAGCACGCGCAACTGTTCTGGTGGGACGATAAAACATTTCTGGTGAAATGCTATCGTGAACCCCCCCGAGCCTAACTAGGCCTCCACGGCGGGAGTGGGAGCGAGCAGCGGAGCTGTCCACGCCAGTGGAGGCCTAAAACAGATGCGGCAATCCCCGCGTGCTGAGTTTTCAAAATTGGGCTTGAAACCCAGTTTTCTGTGCATTTTTCTGCCTATGCTCTTCTTCTTGCACTGTTATCTAATTTACTTGTGGCCCAAGGAGGGTCTGCTTCTTGTACATTCTTCCCTCTGCTCACATTCTTGTGTCATGTTGTGAGTTTTGATGTAGTTATTTTTGAAAATGACAACTTTTCAACTGAAGTCGAGCTTTTTTGGTGTGTGCGAGTTCATCAAACCGCTTATGTCAGCGTAAAAGAAAGCTCAAATGCTGATTTTATAAAATCATTATTAATTACGGTTGCGAGGTGCAACTTCTAAGTTTTGGCCTGATCAATAAGATCAGGCAGGTCTTGAAAAATTTGAGACCAAACATCAAGAAAGTTTTGAGGGAGCATCAGGATTTCAAATCTTGTGATGCTCCCACCAAAACAATTGAAACTCAGCACCTGAGTTTGTCGACCTCTGGCCCAAGTCTCCCCTGCGGGGAGTTCCCTTCGGGAACCGCCTGGCCAGCGCTACGCTGCCAGATGCGCCCGCCGCAGCTGGAGACTTGTGATAAGTTCGGAACCCCCCTAATGTAAAATTACCAAGAACCTGAAAATGCTCCCCACAGGCTTGAGGCTTTTGGCAGTTTTACACATCTTTGACGGTGACCCTTGATGCACACCTAACAACAACATGCAAATCTTCCTGGAGTTGACCCTGTTGTATACATTTTTCATTACCCCCCTCTGTAGGCGGCTTGTAGGTCTTATAATGATGAGGGACAAGTCTCACTTTGGGCTTTGGCAGACAGTCCTCACCAAAAGTCGCAGGCAGACACCTTTGACAGAACTTGGATCCGGTGAAGTATCAAGACATGTAAAAAAGTACCTGTTACAAGAACAAAGGCGATTAAAACCGCATGACAGGGAAGTTCGTATAACATTCTTGTCTCGACTGATCGTCAAAATACAGCCCCTACAATTTAAATAAACGAATGCGGTGACAAGATTCTCTCATCTTGCCCCTGAAGTTAAGGTTGAATGGCGGTGGTGATGGTGATGTCGAAGGCACAAAATGGTGATGACAAGGAATCAGAGATAGGACACATTTTTACATATCTACATCAATATTTACACCCATACTTCTATTTTATAAGTAATATGTATACAAGTATGAATGATGTGCTGATGACAATGGAGTGATCTTCCTTCTTCCATCTACAACAACTTTCGACAAGATCTATGATCGACTGATGTTGTTTTTGTTGATCCACGAAGGTCTGTTTGAGCTTCTTTTGACCTCTCTAGGTGCGCAAGATAGGAACCGTGGCTGACTGGAATCAGTCAGTCTGCTTAACGTTTCTTGCTTGTCTCTGGAGTCTGTGACGAAGCAGCATACCCACACGCAGCGGTAGGGCAACCAAACAAACGATTCCTTGTCGATGTATGACTCAATGTAGGAAATCTGATCATCTTTCCAGTTCCAACATGGATGGAATCGATGGGTTATGGAGTCGTTGACTTGGTCTCGAGTCTGGAACTTTCAATGGTGTGTCGAATCCCACATATCCCTCTAGGCTCTGGCATTAGTCCCTTGATCCACGGTTCGGAGTGTTGCCGGTGTGAATCCTAGTGAATCGATCTTCCAGTTTGTGCCAGTGGGACCCGAGCTCTTTCGGGCATGCCATAGTATGTCATGTCTACGAAATCGTGGCCGAAAGGAATAGATCAAGATGTGTACGAAAACTTTGAATTCAATGATATTTACATGACTCAGTCTCAACGTTCAGGCGCAGACACCAGAAAAGTGCCCGGCCTCTGGCTGTTGCTTGCATTTGGGACATTTCTCTTATTTATATTATTGCGCGGCTTTAAATACGCATAGAGTTGGTGATGATCATCTGAAACCTCCTCAGATTGTCCCTCAGCCCTGCGATAGCCTGCGATACGCTTGCGAGCATTGAACTTTGAAGGCGGACAATCTCAAGTCGACTGGGTTTTGTGCAGTTTTTGGTTTGATTATCGTCAACACCCAAAGCTTTGCCAGGCTCAGTCCCATTAACACCCACTTACGCGAAACAGATGTGCTAGCCTTATTTTGTGAATGTGCGAAAGTCTCAACCTTGTACGGTACACACGCCTGCCTGTCTTGCATAGGATACGGGCCTGGTTGTGAGGTGACCCATGTGGCTGGGCTTCTCGTGAGCCTTGAAGCTGAGCAGTCTTGAGAAGTCTTGAGTCTGACTTCCACTAGGCTGCTCCGTTACACTCAGTGATCATGTGCAGCTCGTGGCCTTGATCAACTGAGCGATGTATCACAACATTCAAGAAAAGTCGGGGGAAGCTCAGTGAAGCTCGGCAAACTGTTGACCAATCCAAGCCTCTGGTACATTACTGCCTTGATGATAAATACATAAACAACTGAATCTGATTGGCCGGTTGTGGTATGTATCAGTTCATTCACTCGAATCGTTACTCGCCAGGAACATTCCCATCTTTAAGGTTCGAGGCACTAATTGTACAACGTCTGACAACACCTCCATATGATATTATAGAACTCTAGACTGGAGGCCGCCAACTTCTCGTCCGGTAGGAAATCGGGTTTACGTGTTCACTTCTAGATCGACTTCTGCGAGGGTCCCAGATCCGACGGGGAAGTCCTCCACTGACCACAGATTGCCATACATATTTAAATATTTATGTACCTTTTTTGTAGCTTGTCGGGCTTGTGTGGAAGTATTTGAAGCCGAAGCGGGAGTGGGGCAAGGCGTACATATCCCCTGCCAGTCACCTGCAACCTCGGAGGTATCAAGCTCACCTGCTGGAACGACCGGACAAGCAATCAATCCCAAGTTCGGTTTCCCCCTATCATCTCAGCCATCTTGAACGTTTTGCATACCAAAGTTTTGGCATATTTACCCACGGCTCGCTGGATAAATCAAAGGAAGTCATCCAGACCGGCTCGATAAAAGGACGCATTCGGACCTCCTATTCTTGTTGCTAGTATACCTTCATATTCCTTTGTAATCATCGACCAACATCGGTGCCATTCGCATTGGACTAACGCGTAGCATCCGAGCCATTGGTTTTCCCTAGCCGGCGCATCACTAGACTCGGAATTGGTAGACATGTTAGTAAAAAAAAAAACGCATCTAATGTGATTCTCTGCGAGTTAATTAGTGCGTTACGGAGTGAATCTATTCACCTCAACTTCAAGTCTCTAGACGCACTTCTTGTGCTTTCTTGTGCTGCTGAACTGCCCGAGGACCAAAAGGAGACCGAGAGCTAGCTGATCTGGGTTCCATATCACCACCCGAGATCATTTAGGGTTCCTGTGGACTGCTAGCCAGTTTTTATCGCTTTTGTCCTGCCTTCTCTTCACTGGCACTAACTTTTGTCCTTGAACCCACAGGAATATTCCCTAGCCACGCATAGCTAGAGCGCCGAAGCTCCTCAACTCGAGGGCAATGCAGTCGTGGTGACTCTCGTTCTCTGTATGATATTCGTATTGCCAACGACAGCTCACTCTTCAATCCACCGCTCCTACCGGCTCAGCAAAAGTTCATGACCCCCTCCGCCCAACTGCTTAGCAAAAAGCCATCATCACCTCCTTGCCCGACGCACTTAAATTATCACGCCCAACTCATCGGATGATTAGAAAACTGCTAGCGAAAGACAGAAACACTACGCAATAAACTCTTTGTTTTTGTTTTTTTCCTTAGGACACTATATAAACTACTTGTTACAAAAAAAGGGTAGGTTCAACCGTCGCGCCTGCTGTAAGAAGCGTATTTTCTGTTTGTTTCCTTGTCGAATCTACTTGTGTGGCTCAGCCGGTTTGTGCTTGTATTAAGCGGTAGATAGCTTTGTGCTTTTGGTGTGGATGGTGTGACTGGGGTGAACCGGATTTGAAGATATATTAAGCGTCCTATGGGCTTTCCAAGGGTTGCCCACTCATCCTTTCATCCCATTTTCCAACAAACCATATAGCTCACTCTCCCAATTCCGCCCTCATCACATCTTCCCAACTAGTTAGCAGTACCAACAACCGTTACAAGTATAGTTGACATTGTTCCCCTTTACTATAACCACACCAAGACCGATTTACCTCAGAGCCTTCATCTCTACTCGACTCCCTATAGGCATCCTCAGTCAGGGTCTGGCCTCCTTCCCCATCGCCACATCTGAGTTCAATCGTCGCCCACATCGTCCATTTTGTCCTGTGGGTTCAACGTCAAAACATTCTCGTCTCATCTTCTTTTCACCTCTCCCGTGTCCAGAAAAGAAGAGATCTTTAAATAATAGACCTGTTACGCCTTCCATCATGACATACTTCCAACCTGCTTCTGATTGATTGATTGGTTGATTGATTGAACTGATTGTGATTGCTTTCTCTCTTTTTTCGCTCAACTTTCGACAAAGGTTTAGGATAGATACTTGCATACATCTCTCTGGAAGATTTGGCAGAAAGCAAGTCGGAAAGCCTGTACAACAGTACTGATCCGTTTGGTAAGCAATAAAGAGTCTTGAGAAGAATCGGTTGATGTGGGAAGAAATGGGAATATGATACTTTAGATCCGAAACCGGGACGGGTCTGTCACTCGAGCTGACTGGAGATCAGAAGTGTGCTCAAGCAGACCCATCAATCGGGAGGATAGCTCATCATGGATGCTGTATTCCATGTACCACAGTTGTGCCCGTCGTGTTTGACTCCTCCAGTTGGTCGGCAGTTGGAAAGCTGCTTTCCTGCTTTCCGTTCCCCTACCGCCTCGGCGCACAACCCTTTTAATACTCCCCCCCCCTCCTCCGACGGCTCTGCTCTGTCCCACTCCCTTGGGTCCTCTGTCTACATAGGCCACATATTTTTATTTCACCCAAACCACATCTTAACATATCTTAATAGTTGCATATCCTAACCCCCATCTGCTTTGACCCACACATCCTTCCATCCTTTAATACTGTCCCACACATTCCTCTTATCATTACCACCAGAGTTGAAAGCAGAGAAAATCTGGACTCTAAACCCAATCGCCTAACATTTGCTTGGGTACACCACACCGTTCCTTAACTGTCTTATTTGCCTCTATCATTCAAGATACACCGTCCACCTTCACAATTGAACTACAAAAAAACCATATCCTCCTTGTCCATCTCCCATATTCTCATTCTTCTCAATTTAATTATCATCTTGCATGTCCAAATCAGATCAAATGAGATCCCATTCATCCTCCTGACCTTTATCATTGTGCTTTTCTTTCATATTTGTTTAGGAACAACCCACAAAAACAGGAAGATTCCGTACATCGTGGTTGTCCTCCAGCTTCCCGACAACTCACAAATAACAGAAAACATCAAGCCAAGATTTCAATCGATCGATCGGAATCATCACTTCTTCAATCCAACACCCCTTTGACGATTCTTACAAGTTGCTTGGTTCTATTCTACCTCTCCTACTCCAGGGTCCAGTTTTCGTATTACCATTTTTTGTTCACCTGAACCCACTCGTCTTTCTATTTATCGCGACAATCTCCTCACTCAAAATCACCTGCAACCACGAACCCACCTCAACCACGAAATAGGAGAACTGTCTAGCCTCCGGAAGCCACCAACTTATTCTACCTCCACTGTTCTTTGACCTATCCATTATTACCATCAAGTCTTGTCGATTGGTTTAAAACTATTTTTTCTTCAAAAAAAAAAAAATAGCGCGTTGCAGTGGACTATTGATTTATGTACAAGGACTCCTTCTAGAGACACAAATTTGTCCTATCCGGCACCCCCCCACATCCCTGTTCTTACCTACTTGAACGTAGTCTAGTACCACCAAATATCCTCTACTTGGCACCCCATCTTCCTAGCTACCTCTTTCAAACTGACATTCGAAAATCCCACGCGCCACGGGCCGCTGCTAGACCACCCAGTTGGACCTAGCGGAGCTCCATTGACGCCCACATCTCTGACGGTCTTAGATTCAGATCCCAGTATGACAATTTACGACCCCGCTCCCGGCCCTTCTAGAGCTTCTCGGATCACTCTACCACCAATGATGATGGTACCACAAGCTCATCAGCGTCCACTCGACTACAACAATCATGACCTTTCTCAAGCATCCTATCTGCGCCATCCTTACATGGCGCAAGCCGAATATGATTATGATTACGAATTCGCGACCAACATGAGTTATCATCAACCCAATAATGACTACCACCAACTCCCCCAGGATCCCGGTCACCCGGTCGAAATGCAGTCTGCTCAAAATAACCATGATACCGGCGGCGCACTTTCTTTGTCATTGCTAGTGGCTGCCGCGCACGCTGCTCAAGCCGATATCACCTACGGACCTTCCCCCATCCACTTCACGTCTGCCTTGCCGCTATCCTGTGAACTCGGTACTTCAGGGAACTATTCACCGGCTTTGACTTCGGTGGACCCTCAAGGCAACTGGCCATCCGTTGGCCTTGGCACGAGTGACTCGGATCGACTAGCCCCGTCTCCACCCCAAACTCCTCTTGCTACACCTGACGTGATATACGATACCTCTATGATGGCCTGTTGCAGAAATCACAGCGACGGGCCAACTTCTCATGAAGGCAAGTGGGAGATGGATAGGATTACCGCAGAACATCCATATATCCATAAGCCCTCTCTTCCGCCCCTTTCGCACATGGACTACCCCCATCAGTCCCTCGTGGCACACCACGGCCACCACGTCCACCCGACCGAGTTTCCGGTTCACCACCCAACAATCCCAAACAGTACTTCGCCCATCGAGAGATCCCAAAGCTGCAATCTCGCAAGTCGCCCTGTCATCAAAAGAACATGCAAAAGAAAAAGAGGAGCAATTAAGTCTGAAGGCTCACTTGATCTAGCTGGAGCATCGCCAGGTTCCCAAAGCAGCCTCAGGAACGAGAAGCCAAAGCAGGGCCGCAAGAAAAGAAGCGGTAAGGATTTTTTTTTCTCATTTCTTGAGAAAAGGCCTTTGGAACCAGTGGCTGAAATTTCACCTCTTTTTATCATCTTTTCAGCCGGCTACGTCAGGCCCATAATTATCCATCGTAAACGCGTCGGGCAACGATTGTTGGATATGCTCAGTTGAGTGCGATACTGCTTTCTTTTTTTTTCTCTGTAACAAAAACTAACAAATGTCGCGCCCACACATACATAAACTTTGGAATATCCTGTTCTCTTCTCTAGAAAGCGCCCCTACCCCCTCGAAAGCGCCTTCCATGGAGATTAGTCGTGCCAGGTGTTTCCCTTTCGCGGACATGAAAAACAAGTTGAGGGAATGGTACGGGTTACAAATCGAATGGCCGGTGGAGGCCCCATTCCGCGTTGACGAGTTACGCAGTACCAGAAGAATGCGCTTAGATGAGTTGGAAAGGTGTGTCGCCGGGATTGAAATCAGCCGTGATTGCCAAACTCCCAAACTCAGCTGAACATATCTCCCATCTCCCTTCTTTCCACAAAGGTTGGATAAGACGTTGGACGGCGGTGAAGTCAAATTGCGCTTGTCGGATGAAGTTTTGGCCGAAGAGCCCCACCGCGCCGACGAGTTTAGCTTTCCAAGCGACGGTCATACGGAGGAGCAATCTGTGAGATCCCAATCATCTTTCAAAAAAAATTTGCATGTACTGAGATGTCTCATTTTCTTGACTGTCTCGGCATATTGCAGAACTAGGAGTGCCTTCTGTTTCTTGGAGACCTTTCTTAAGATATCTTTTTAAGAAGTTTTTTTTTTCTTTTCTTTCTTTCAATTTCTTTCATGCCAGGATTGAATTCTGTCCATTTGTTGGGGGTAACTGAAGACAAAAGGTCTTGAATATTTGTGCCGTTAGGGTTGTAGTCAATATACATACATAAATACATACATACATACATCTATATATACATATATAATTTCCAAATTTGAAATCCACTGTTTATGCAAGTTTGGAATTCAGGTGGATTGAAGTGGCTAAAACTGCAAGCTTCAAACGTTCGGCCTTACTTTTCAGGGTGTACAAACTGGGGATGCCATTGCAACTGGGTGGCTCGCCATTCCAGACAAGGATAAGCGATTAAGGGGATTGCATGCTGGGTAATCTCGAGCATTATAAGCAATGCTTACAAGTTATCGAAGAGTTTCGAGTATTCCCTATCACCGAAGCTTGAGGGATTACTAGCCCCGGTAAATTGTGATAGAATATTGCTTTTCATGTCAAGTATATGGTGTCATTAGCATATCTTTAAAATTAGATCATACAACTTGACCTGGTCTAGACACTAAGCATGTGATCAGTAATACTATTTATCAATGATTTAACATTAGCTGTAGATAGGTGTTTGCTGAAGTTTTTCTCATTGACAGCATTGTACACCATATATAGTATCACATTGCTTGTAATTCTGAGAAATAAAGTGAATAACAGGTGATATTAACAGCAATGACTAGTTACATTTTTTTACCAGTAAAGCTGGTTGATTCATACTCTAAGCTCTTTTATAGGACTGAATGTAATAGCAAATAGCAAATGTAAAAAAGAAAAAGTACTGAGTTTGAAGTATTGTCAATAATCAAATACCTGTGAAGAATGTTTAACTGGCAGGCTCAAAGAGAAGAAGAGGTTTGAACAGTCTGAGTCCTGGTGGCACTTGGAGAAAGGGCCCAAGAACGGCAACCAGGTTCAAGATAAAGAGAACCAATGATTTGACATTGCAATTTGCTTGCTGTGGGCTACTTTAAACTAGACTATCTACAAGCAGTCAACAAGTGGTTGACAAGAAATGAACAAAAAAATGATATTGAATAAAAATAAAAATTTTATTGATAGGAAAACCTTGTGAGGCCAGATTGGACAATCAATGGCTACTAAGCAAGGTCATTTTAGACTAGATGAGTGTGTCATGGGCTACTATCATGCTTCTAAAGTTGAGCCAACAAATGATTCAAGAGTGAGAAACAAGGGAAAAAATAATAATGGGGTTTTAGGTAGGAGTAGGAGAAGGCAGAATTTCAACAAACTGCAGTTCTTCAGGCCGATTACACTGAGATCATTTGTTTCATAAATCATCACATTGGCTCTGACTCTGAGCTTCATCAATTTTAAAGTAGTAGATCAATTATGTCATTCTTCAATAGTTTGGGTGATCTGTTTGACATAGCAGCTTGCAAATTTACACATGATGTATTATATTCACCACATTTGTGGTATTGTCATTAAAATGCTAGCTATGTATCAAATCTTCTTTTGGTCGAATTACGTTCAGTTATCATAAATCTGCCTTGACCGATGCATAGTCTATTTTTCATTCATCTTAGAAGATCTAACCAGGTTTTCAAGATAGTTGTAGACTGTTTCTGTTGAGAATCGTCATTAAAGCGGGTTGCAAAACAAGGCAGGCATGATTGCTTGAGATATGTCATTCAAGCAAGGAGTAGAGATTGAGGAGATTTGTTGTAGCTCTGAGAAACGAGTCCTTCAATGGAGCAAAGTGAGTATCGAAACTATATGTAGGTGCAGCATGGTGGTCAACTTGAGGGGCCAACGGGACGAGAAAATCTTCCAAACTGTCTAATGCGCGTATGAAATCGCCGCACACGCTTCTAGCGACTGCTTCGATTCTATCCTCCTCCAAATCTTCAAGTTCACGCGTACTGATCCCATGCAGAGAGACTAGAAGTTGTGCTTGGAGAGTATGAGAGAACGTTTTAGTGCTTTCAAGCAAGTAGTCCAGCTGGCAAGAATTCAGATCGGCAGCCAATTTGAACGTCAGTTTATGGATTGAACTATTCGACAGCTTATTATAGAACAGTCTGGATAGTTTGATGAGTGTCCTTGATGATTCGGTGATCTGAGTGATTAGAATAGCTCGAGTTGCATCGATGGTACTTGGTCTATTTATTTTGGTGGTGATGATCAGTGAAATGTCGAGTGACTCTGCAATCTCTTGCCATTCCTCTTGGAGAATTCCCAAATCAGATCGTTTGCAACGTTCGATTAAACCATCAATCAAAGCCGCCGTTGAAGCTGCAGTGTCGAGAATATGCGTTCGCCGCTCAGATAAATCCTCTTCCTGCTGATCATCATCTTTGGAAACCGCAGGATCAATAAGTTTCAGACAAGCAAGCAAGAATTTCACGCTGAGATGTCGCCGCAGTTGTTCGACATCCTCCAGTAGACGAAACGATCTCGCAGTTTCTAAATGATGGCATGGATATTCAATTCTTGGGTCAGGTTGATCAGGACCAATGGCGAGGGAATTGGTGTAGGCTGTGATTTGACCGAGAGTCGGTTTGAGTTCTGATGTGATTTTGAGCATGAGTTCAAAATCCGGATTCGATGTGAGTTGTGTGGAATCTGATAGATTGAGTGATCGTACTAGATCAGTGATTTGATGAGCTAACAGAGGCAAAAGGCGCGAGTGGAACTGTTCCAAGAGATCGTCTTTCGACTCGATTCCATCCATTAACAGCGGGTCCATGCCAGCATCATACTCCGATCGAGCAATATAGGTCGTAGCGATCAACATCCGAAGTGCGTCGATTACCGCGCCTGGAAAGAATGTTTACGTTTAATTTTGTCATCACAATCAGTTAAAGGCTTGTAATGAGAACTTGCCTTGTGTATCTCCGCTCGACATATTTGATTCGGTTGGACCAGATTCGGGTTACAGCGAGAAGCAAAGATGGGAGCTGATGGGAGCACCGGTGACCGTGAGGGTGAGGGATAGATGGAGATGAGCCCATCCAGCCGCACAGCTCCCCAAAACTAGATATGTGCGTCATCCCCCGAGCTCCCCGCCCCCCCCCCGCTCCCAGAAGAGTACATATTCCCCCGTGGATTCACAAGTTCTGGGTCCAGTACAGAATATTGCCGAGTCTTGCCTCCAATCGGGTTCGAAAATATTGCACATAAACTCAGCTGCGATGAAATATGATCATGCTGTGAAGACAAATCTGACCAGTAGAATGAAAAAAAAAACAGCATTCATTGAATGTGAAGAGCAGCAAGAAAAAAAAAAGGATTGCAGATCTTTGGTTAAGAATATTCAACAAGTCTGAACGAGAAAGAAAACCAAGAACGATCAAAACCACCAGATTTGTTCATAAGATTATAAGATTTTCACAAAAGGAGATGCTAATGAAAGAGCAAAAACAAATAAAGAGACAAAAGGAAGGAACTGTTGGTGGGTGATTCGTATGATAGTAAATGATAACAGAAACGAGATGAGTAACTCTGAGTCAAGGGATAGGATCGTCTTCCACTTGTCCGTCGTTCTCGTTCTCGTCCTGGTCCTGGTCCTCGTCCTCGTCCTCATCCTCATCCTCTTCCGATTCACTCTCGCTGGTTTCTCCAACTAGATCCCCAAAACAGATATTAATGGTCTGAAGAAAATTGCCACAAGCAGCCCAGAACTGTTTTTTCAAGGGTCGAAACCAAGTTTTGAAGTGAGATTGAGCATGAGATATACTATAAGCAGTGCTAGTAGTTGTGTGCACAGGGATCATATGACGCGATAAGTCACGCAAGATCCGATCGAGCTCACACAGAGGCATTACGGCTTCGTTCCTCATCCAGCTGATCCGTCGTTCGAGATTTTCTGATGACTTATGCAGTTGAGACAGCTCGCCCATCAGGTCATCAATACTCGATTCGATCCAAGACGTCCTGTCAGCTAGTAACTCCAGTTCATCCGAGCTCATCTCAGTATCTAGTCTAAACGGCGGTCGATTGGTCGTCGTTTTCGATAATTTATCATAAAAGATTCTTCCTAGTTTGACGAATGGGATGAACGATTTGGCTAGTCGATTGACGCGTTCCCTGTGATCAGCTGATCGGTTTCTCTCCTCGTCCTCGACTAATCCGTCTTCAAAAATCTGATGACCATCTTGATTATTATTGTTGTTGTTGTTTCTTGATGTGATAGAATAACTTCTGTTCGTCATCTCGCCTAAGAATTGCAAGGCCTCGGTGAGGTTATCGGAGGCCAGTCGCCAGCGGTGTTGAATTATATCAAAGTCAGATAGTTTTGACCCTTCGATTAGTTCATCAACTTGATTTTGAGATTCGGCGGCCAACGTCATGACTTCTTGTCTTCGTTCGGAAGCGTGGGCTTCATAGTCTAAATCTTCATGATCATTGTTTTCATCTCCCCAGATTAGAAGAGCACAAGCTTCGAATAAGTAGCACAGATCCTCTTGTATCAGTTCCTTGGTCGCCCGTACCAGTCGGAGAGATCTATAACACTTGTGTTGGCCAAGGTGATGGTCACGACTTGGGGCTGGTAGAGGCTCTCGAAGAGCGAGGAGTTCCACGGCTGATCTGGTTTGATGGAGGGTACGTTTGATTACTGATATGATTTGGATGGTCAATTCTGGGTGTGGACATGCATGAATTGCCAGATGGGTCAGATCTAGTGAGCTTAGTAGGATTGAGATTTGGGGTTTGATCAGAGGCAGCAGGCCTGTTTGTAAATCGTTTAACGTCTTTCTCTTCCAGTCCACTCGATCGATACATAAATGCTTGTCATATCTCCAAAAGTGATGAGTTTGTGAGAACCGATGAATATCCGATAGTTCCTTCAACGCCCTGACCACACCTGGATAGAATTTCAGTTTGCAATCTTTTGTGGTTGATTCTTGCTACAGTATAAGACTTGTAAAGCTTACAATTCGGACTGGTCTCCTGGACCGATGAGCTGGATTCCGATTCCTCATCCTCATCCATGGCCTCGACTATGATGCAGCGGAGTAGTGGTATTGATGATGGTGTCGAGCCAAACACGCCATCTCGTTGGTAGTAGTGTTTTGCTTCTTTCCCCGGTCCACGGGGCTCTATCCCCGCTTCAGCTTCATGTAGCCTGCCCCCGGGGCCAGCCGTCAGGCACCTTCGGACAACCCCCAAGATACAAATTACAATAGGGGGTTCCAAAGTTGCCCCAGGAGGTCGCAGAGCTCCTAAAACCCAAGAAGAACAAACAACCTGGAACACTTGCAGCCAGCCTGTCCTACTTCTCCCTCTTGCCCTTAAGCAGGGGCTCTCCAGGTGCAGGAAATCAGGAGAGTAATTGTCCATTTTCCTAAAAAGTTACACATGAAACTCTCCTTTGCAGACATAAATTCAGATGAAGCTCACCACTTCCTATATTACAATATACATATCATCGGTTTTACCCAACATACTTTGATTTGATAACAAGATCATGTCATTGAGTAAGATTGGTTGACAATGACACTTTTCTTTGACTTGATCAATTAATTTCTTTGTATGCAAGGCATTCTTTGAACCAACAGCTTTCATTCTCCAAGTCAGGAGACCTCAATCAATTGAATCAAGTAGGAGGACTTGAAGTGGTTTCCTTGAGTAGCATTGACAAATCTGAGCATAGTTGTCACTGTGAAAATCTCTTGCCAAAAAAGTGGTGGCAGTTGAAATACAATATTAAAAAGCTGGCACCTTTGTAATATTGCATGTCAACTGCCTCCAGGGCAAGATTTTTTCACAGTGTCTTCTGTTTTTACTAAGGCACCAAGATATTTAAAACCTCAATGCTTCATGGGAAGGATTACCTTCCCGCCAAACAAGAACCAAGCCAGCCTTGGTTCTTGATTGGCCTGCAGACTTCCCCACCCATAACAGAAGGTCACGATGTGATCCCCACCCATTGGAATGCTGATTTTGGCAAAAATTAGCATTCCAACATCCGGGGGGTGAGACTCACACAAAATGGAGGGGTGGGGCTTACTCCACACCCTTTTTGGTGGGTTGGGGAAGGGGGGGAGTGTGTTTATCAACATGCAACTGAGTGTCCACATGTTGTTTATTGTATACTCACCCAAATTCCTGGAAGTATTATGTTTCCAGAAGCATCAAGGACAAATAATTACTGCTTTGGGAGCAAGGAATGTGAGTGGGTATAAGAGAAACAACATTTGGAAATGAGTGTTTCCAGATTGCCCACATCTTTCTCTTGTAATCTCAACTTCCTTGATTCCAAAGGGTGGATTATTTTTCCATAAACATCATGGAAAAATCATTAGGCCTTTGGGAGCAAAGAATCTGAGTGCGCTTTCAATTTGCGGGCTATGTATTAGTCCAAGACTTACACGCTAGCTCTTTGTAAATCAATAATCAAATGCAAAATAAAACCAACTTATATGTGGCAAAGTGTGGAAAGAAGAGTACAACGTCACTGGTTGAATATATTGGCTTCCACTCCTATGCCTCCTCCTTGTTAGTCCTGGTCTGTCAATTGATGTCCTTTGTAGTTTGGCTGTTAGACAAGATTCTCTTAGGGATTTCCTCTATCACTAAGTCTAACTATGCTAGTATTACTATTACTCTTTAACAAGCCAATGACAACTATTCTATTGTGTACTACACTATATTATCTACTCTGTTTCTGATAGTAAGATAGACAGATCCTCCTCTCTCTTCCCCTCTCCTCAAAAATCCTTTCCTTTCTCTCTCTCCCACACTACTCCTTCCCTGCTTACCTCCCACACTGCTACTTCCCCTCAATCTGATCAAGGCACTTACTAATACTACTCAATCTGGGTGCTTTCAAATATTGAAAGGATTCAATTTCTGTCCTCAGATAAAGCGGCCACCACAATTACTATCCCACTTGTGTCTAAAAAGCCCATTGAGATCCATAAAATTTACCACAATGATACTCCAAAGTACGTGATGATTTACCTTGATTAGATTTTATTAGGATTCAGAGATATTGTGAGGCCAGAAACAAAATTCATCAACCACTCTGTTTGGAAATCTTTTTTTGGATTTCCTATACAAACTCTGATTTCCAATGAGCCTAGGATAAAAATTGGCTAGGCATGTTGTAACTTTTCAAATAGCAATTTAGCCCAATTTTTATGCCATTGAAACCTGTGTCCCACAAGTTATTGCATATAGCTGTCATCTGGTCTGGTGAGCCTAATTTGCGATGATCTCCAAACTCCCTGATTTGTAAATTTCAATAAACATAACCTCAGTACATTGTAAATCAAGTATCATTCACAGAATCAACTAAAACTTTATCCAGTCAGAGTCAACTTTCTTCATTTGCCAGTCAAAAACAACTAGGTGAGGGGACAGTGTATCTTGAAACAATGTTTCTCAATCAAGACACTGGAAAATACTTAAAAAATCATAGTGATGCTGGTCTCAAGGCATTCTTCAACTGCAGTCCAATAAAACCAGAAGGAAAAAGCAAAGAAGATTCTGGAAAGGAATAAGCACCTCAGGGTTGTATGTGCTAGGTCAACTGGCTAATATATTTTCTGATTGTAATTTCCCAGATGATGCAGGTATCATTGGAAGATCCGCTTTGCAAAACTGTTGTTTGTGGATTCTGTTGATTGCTTGTGTTGTTCTCTGTTTTTTCCTGTCATATTTCAGATTGTTTTTACTCTCACCAGGTGAATGTTTTGCTTTGGGTATAATTCTCTTCTCTATTTTGTCACTGGAGTAATCACAACAAAAAATGAGGAAACCTGATGGCAGTTGACATGCAGCAACTTTAATGATAGGGGGTATCAAATATGACCAAATCAACCATTATTTAAATGACTGCACCAAGAAAAAAAACAATCATCACTTGATGGCAGGTGACATCATCCTTGTGAAAATCACAAAACTGTCACACAATTTCAAAACTCTGTACTTCTCTTCCTTGATTCTCCTTTAATATTGTTACCCAATCTCTCTTGATTATTTCAACCAACAACCTCTCACACTTCAATCACACATCACAACTTGATTACCACTTCAAATCAACTCAAATTTAATCATCACAACAGTTCCCTTTTCATTATCATTCTCACTAGCTTCACCTTTTCTCAAATTCTGTCCTATGTCTGGTGAGATTCACCTTGTAAATATTCTCCTCTTTCATTCTCTGTTCTCAAGCTAACTTCTTATTTCAGCTTTGTCCTTCTCTCTTCCTTTCTTGCTTTCCTAGCTCTGTTCTCTCATCTGATTCACTCTTATTTGTCTTCTCTCAAACATTGGTTCATTTTTCTTATCTCTTGATTTAATTCATTCATTATTTTGTTAACTTTTTCTAAATCTTGTTTATATCTAGTGCATTGTCTTCATCTTACTAATCAATCACAGATCAAAATTATTTTAAGCAAGGCACCAGGAATGCAAATCACACTCACTAACATTCTCTCCTCTTGTCTATCTTATGTGAGCTGCTGCTGCACTCTCAATCACCTGTTTGATGCTGTTAATTGAGGACCAAGGTTGCCTGTGATGCCACTGCTGCCAAGAATCTTGATCACTTGTTTGACACTGGGAATCTTGCACGTTTGTCCTCCTGTCATACACCAATGCTCAACTTCCCCTTTCAGAGACCAAGGTTCACCACTGTTGTTGACTTGCAAATAAAAACCTTCTTTTGATGGGCTCAGATTCAAGATTATACTGCATAGCCTTTGCTGTCAGCAGTCAATCTGTGGGTGCAGAGTACTGTATGGCAGCACAGCCAACCTTGGAATTTAGTTTTAAATTAAACTTAAGTAATTACCTAAAGGAGCTTTTCACAAATCTGTCACCAGGTCCATTAAAACAGATGTTAATTTAGAACCCTGAATATTACCAGATTGATCTGATCTGAGGGGTATCTAAATCTGTTTCCACAGGGGCTTCATGCAGATCAGAAAGCAAGTCCTCTCCTCCAATAACAATTTACATAGCAAAAGCTGGATTTTTGCTCCAGAAATGCTGCTAATGCAGTCAAATATTTCTGCAATTACTTGATTTCAGAATGTTCCATTGTCAAATTTAGATCAAATAGAGGATCCAACTCAGTGAATTTCTAGTTAACCACAGTTTTTTCATTGCAATCCCTTTGGTTAATTTTATGACTGTGCAAAACCTTCAAAGTGACTCAGTTGTGACTTGCACAGTCACTGGCAGATCAGTTTTCCCCTGGTGATGACTGAAATCAGTATGGTTGAAATCTGGCAACTCATGGGCACAGCCTCTCAGGGAGAATTGCTGGGATCCATCTGCAGGGGGGAGAGGGAATTAGATACACCCAGTGCTGGATCTAGTACAGAATATTGCATGCAACCTGAGCTGCAATGAAGTAGGATGTTGTCAAGTTAAATTGCGCCAGCATAAGAGAAAATTAAAAGCATTGATTGGCTGTGAAGAGAGCAACAAGTATTAAAGGATTGTAGATCATTTTTAGAACATTTGATTCAAGAACAAATTACAAGATTTCTAAAAATTCAAAAAGCAGATGCTATGGAGGTCATCAAAGAGCAAAAAAAAAAATGTTTGGTGGTTAAATTAAATTGCCACTAGGTGATTCTTGATTCTGAGTCAAGGGATAGGATCTTCTTCCACTCGTCTGTCGTTCTCGTTCTCGTTCTCGTTCTCGTCCTCTTCCGACTCACTCTCGTTGTCTTGTCCAAGTAGATCCCCAAAACCAATATTAATGGTCCGAAGAAAATGGACACAAGCAGCCCGGAACTGTTTTTTCAAGGGTAGAAACCAAGTTTTGAAGTGAGATTGAGGAGGAGAGCTACTATAAGCAGTGCTTGTAGTTGTGTGCACAGGGATCAGATTGAGGGATAAGTCGAGCAAGGTCCGATCGAGCCTATACAGAGTCATTATGGCTTCGTTCCTCATCCAGCTGATCCGTCGTTCAAAATCTTCTGATGAATTATGCAGTCTAGATAGCTCGCCCATCAGGTCATTGATACTCGATTCAATCCAAGACGTCCTGTTAGCCAGGAGCTCCAGTTGATCTGAGCTCATCTCAGTATACAATTCAAATGGTAATCGATTGATCGCTGTTTTCGATAGTTTGTCATAGAAGATTCGTCCTAATTTGATGAATGGAATGAACGATTGGGCGATTTGATTAGCGCGTTCCCTATGGTCAGCTAATCGCTTTGTCTCCTCGTCTTCTACTGATCGATCTTCAGCAATCTGATCATCTTCCTTGTCGTTGTTTGATGAGGTAGAATAGCTTTCGTTTGTCATCTTGCCCAAGACCTCCAAGGTCTCGCTGAGTTTGTATGAGGTCAGTCTCCACTCGTGTTGAAGGAAGCCAAAGTCAGATAGTTTTGACCATTCGATTAGTCGATCAACTCGATTTTGATAATCGGCAGCCATCATCGTGATTCGTTGTCTCCGTTTGGAAGCGTGGGCCTGATAGCCTAAGTCTTCTGGATCATTGTTTTCGTGTTCCCAGATTAGAAGTGCACATGCTTCGAATAAGTCGCACAGATTCTCTTGTATCAGAGTCTTGGTCTTCCGCATCAGTCGAAGAGATCTTATGGACTTGAATTTCTCGAGGTGATGGTCATGACTTGAGGCTGGTAGGGGCTGTCGAAGAGCGATGAGTTCCACGGCCGATCGGGTTTCGTCAAGGGTATGTTCTATTTCTGATACGATTTGGAGGGTCAATTCTGGGTTGGGACAAGCATGAATTGGCATATGAGATAGGTCTAGTGAGTTTAGGAGGACCGAGATTTGGCGCTTGATCAGAGGCAGTAGGCTTGTTTGCAAATCGTTCAAGATCTTTCTCTTCCAGTCCAGTCGATCGATCGAAATATTTTCTACATGATGGCAAAACGATTGACTTAGTGAGAACTGATAGTAGTCCAACAGTTCCTTCAACGCCCTGATCACACCTGGATGAATTTTCAGTTTGCAGTATTCATTCGTCGATGTCTCACTGAGACTTTCAAGGCTGCTTACGATGTGTTGCGGTCTGCTGGCCCCTCGAGCTCGATTCCGATTCCGAGGCCTCGTCGCCATCCATGGAGCGGACTATCCAGTGGAGTAGCATGATGATGGTTTCGAGGAAATCGGCTATGTATGTACCTGCAGCTGTAGTACTGTCACTGTCCTGGCCAAAAAGCCCCGGGGGTCCCCCGAGCACGGCTCCACTTCCGTGCATAAACTGTTCCGGCCTGCCGACAAGATATCGTCGGTCGCGTTAAACGCAACTTCAAGTCTCGGCTCCGGCGACTGGAAAAGGGCGGAAGAAGGGACACCAGAATGTCGGATTCCAATTCAGAGACCGGGAACTCTTCCACGTCGGATGACGAATGGGGGGCAAGCCAAACTTCAGAAACGGGTCCAAAATCAAAGACTGGTCAGAAGATTTTTCCTTTCTTTTTTTTGCAAATTGGCAACTCATGAATGGGAAAATAAACGTTAACAGACTTGGTGGTCGAGGCGTTGGAATATATGGATCGTAAATATATGTTTTCATCGGAGCGCGAAGCCGACGCGGACAAGCACCTGACGATCGACGATATGGGCGAGAAACTCAAACGGTTGGATGAACTGGAAACGAGCCTTCTGCCTTCAATGAAAGAGCTCATCGATCAACTGTTGGACGCACTCGACATAAAAGGTTCCAGCGATTATCCCGGACCCCAGCCAGACCTAGATTTGACTTTGGAAATCTTATCAAAGCTCGACAAGAATTTGAAAAGAACGGTATCCTCGGGCGTCTTCCTTGCTCTCGAATCGCCTCTACCGGATGAAGACCATGACCATCACCTCAAGAAAGCTAAGATCTTTAGATGCACTCATCTCCTCAGTGAAATCGAATGCTTGGTGGTCGACGAAATCTATGACCTACTTGTTTGTTGCATGTCAGTGGTACAATGGTGTGAAAGCTTATCTGATTGTTCAGATGAGGCTTTACTTCAAAGCGAGGTGCTCCTTTCTCGACGAGAAGCATTGATGAGTGCAACTCAATGTCAACATGAAATCGATCGGCTCATCAAATTCTCCCAGAAATCCGACTTGGCTATCTTACAAGTGACCTGGCTACCCCCAGCAGATTTACTCGATAAAGTACTTGTGAATTTTACCAACCTAACCAATCCGAGATTTGAGCGCAATGCTTGGATTGTCGAAGATCAAAGCCAGGAGAGAGAAGCTCCAAGAGAAGAAATCGTTCAAGTAGCTAAATCCACCATCCCGATCATCAAGTTGGCAAGAATCCTTCTGGGTAAACTGTCGCAGCTATCCAGGAAGGAAGTCCCGTTCACATTGCACTCGGCGATTGACTCGAAGTCAGTTGATCAATTAACATCAGCCCAACATTCGATTGCTGTACAGTTAGATAGAATCGGATTCACGTTCCTCAAAAATCATCGGACAAATCAAGCGCTCGAACCCATCTTCGACCAAGCCCATGCCGTAGTCAAAAAAATTTCTTGGATTGTAGAGTCTCATTTGGTTGACATAGCATTTCACCTCGTTCCTTTACCCCACCTGTTGCTAAATGGTGTCAATTCTCCCACTCGTCACTTCAGGGCTCAGTTTTATCCTTGGAAACAGCTTTGGGATGTCGCTGTTTCTCGTCTCTTGGATTTATTGTGCTCCTTTGAAACTGAACATTAATAAGAATCATCTGATTCTCAAGGAGATCAGGTTAAGAAAGCACATATCTGAGGTATTAAGATCCTGCCAACTCTATTGCCTTGATCATTTCCCTCACATTGTATTTGTTTTATTTATTTGTTGCAAAAACACTTAAGCATATTACTCCCTATTTGAGCTATCTCACTAAATCAGAATTCTGAAAAAAGGGGTTCCTCCTACTGGTCCCTCATAAGGCCCCTGTATCCACCTTGAGTCATCTTACCCCTAGGCCTTTTCCTGACCCCAGTAAGATAGACTTCCCATACCCATACCCAGTCTTTTCAGTTACCTTGCAGCAATTTTGTGAGTCACATTTTGATCCCAGAAGAATTTTCCGCCATCTGGATTGACATCTGATACTGAATCCTGATCCTGCCCATGGAAGGGCCATAAGCTATACATAATTCAGATGTTTTCATGCTATTTTCAATATTTGATGGCACTACTTTCTATGCACCATCTTTGCTGTTTGTCTGAAAAGAATCAAACAATGTCTCTCCATTCTCAAAGTGTTACATGCCACATGGTTCCTTGTTTGTGTGTGTTTATCCTCTTCTTTCAGATTTGAGAACTAAGAGCTATGTTTCCTCACCTTTGAATTCCATGGTGCTTGCTGATAGAAATGGTCTCATATTTTTACTGCTGTGACTCAGAAAAACCTGCTCCAGATTTGCATCAAATAGGCTGTTTACTTTCTTTTCCTTTTTCCTCATTCCTCAAGCACTTCTCCTTTTCTCATAGCCTTAACATAGCTTGCAGCAACGGTGGGCCGCTACACTAACCGTAGCGGTTAGTGTAGCGTAACGCAGCGGAATTCCCGTTAGCGTTAAGCGTAGCGTAGCGGAATTCCGCCACAACACCGCTAACGCTACGCGTGTGGGCCACAAAAAAGGGCCCACTACGCTGCGCTACAGTCGTTTTTAGCGGTTTTTAGCCGCTTTTTCCGCTAAAAGCGCTGTAGCGCAGCGTAGCGTAGCAAAAATGCGCTACAAAAGCGCTAACACTACAAAAATTTGGCGCAAAAAAAGCGCCGCTACGCTACGCTTTTTGGGCCAAAAGCGTAGCGTAGCGTAGCGGCCCACCGCTGCTTGCAGCCTAGTTCTTGTCCAAGTTTTACATCTAAGACAGTCTCATGTATTCAAAAAACCCTGAGAAATAATATCTATTGTCAAACATATTAATAAGTTCTCTTCATGTTTTCATGCATAATTCATAAGTTTTTCCTATTTTTATTCATTGAGCTGATCAACAACTTGTATTCAGTGTATTCAAATCAGCTAAACTACACATGGAATCTCTTCTGATCTTTATATTCTTGTGGCAATTTGAGTCCCCAACTGTGCCACTGATGCCATTCAAATCTTGTCTCCATTTTCATTTTTGACATTATAATTTTACAGCTTCTTTAACTCAGGGTTGATGAAGTCAATAAGAAAATATGATCCTGGGTAATTATTTTAAACTATAATTTGATGAATTTCTTACCAAAGTGTTTTCTGTTTATAAGGTCAATCAGGATCAATCTAATGCCAAAGCTAGCATGCAAAATTATATTTTGAAGTAAGTCTGGCAGTAAATAGAACTCAAAAACCATCCTATTCTTTTCTTTTTTGGACTTTAAGTTTCAATGCCTACATCTTATGTATCTCCACTATTTTTTCCTTACATTCATAAAGTGTTACCAAAGATGGCCATCCCATCAGATTGGTTATGGATCCAACAATGTTATAAAACAACATATAGATACACACTTTCCTCTATGTAGGATGAGAAAGAAGGAAAATTTTCAATGCATGTCTTTGCGGCACATTGTATGTAGATGGTCTTTTCATACTTTTGTAGATCCAATGGGTGTATTTTCTCATAAAACAAAAAAACTGACCAATCAATACCTTGTGCACATCTATATGACTTGAAACGAATTGAGACAAGTATGGTGCACAATGTCATACAGTATGGTTGAGACGGATGGCCAATTTGGCTAATTTTTTTGAATTTCTCAAGCTAACAGGTTAAGATCTAGGACAAATGCCGATGGCAGGTAATAGTTGTAGTTTGGTAACTGTATCTAAATCACACATCTTGGCGATGAGTAATCAATCGGCTAGTAGCATCGGCTACATGGCTTCCCAACTTCGCCTTGGTTGGTCCTGCAAGAGTGGTTGTTCATATTCCCCTCCGCCCACGCAATAGAGACCATCCAAGAAATGATCCATAGCCCGATACCACAACGTCTTCAATGTAAGGAGCCAGGTCTTGAACTGAGGCTCGGATGAAGGGTGTTCATTCTCATGGTGCGGTAAGGGCACAAGATAGACGGCTAGAACGAGTAGAGTAGATTCCAGGGTCTTGGAGATCCCGCTGAGTGAAGTGCGAATACGGTCCTTATTGATAATCACTTCGTCCCTCTTATGAATCATCCACAAGGAGCGCACAAACTGATCCAGACGCTCGGCAATCGAGACTGGCTCTTGGTGCAACTGGTTCAATGTCTCCGAATTCAGCTCGCTATCCAACGTGAACGCCGCTTTTCTGGTCGTCTTATTCCCGATCTTGTCCAGGAATGCTCTCGTCAGTTTGACAAGAGGTATGGCCAACCTGGCCACTTCGGCGATCTCTGCTCTATTCCCGTTCGTTCGATGATCATCTCGACCAGCATTAATCCCATTCGGTTCCTTCGGGCAATTGGCCAGAATAATCAAAAATCCTAGGACGCCATTGAGCGAATCCGCTGCTGCTAGCCACTCTTCTTGGATAAAATCAAGGTCTGATTTTCGAAATAAGCTGATTATTGCATCGATTAGATGACCGGAATGGGCGGTAATCTTGAGTATTTCGGCCTCCTTTTGGGATGTCTTTGTATGATGTTCAGAACTGTCTGGATGGCTACTAGAGAGCTCCCAGAGTCGGATGAAATCTATATAGTTTCTAAATAGTTCACAGAGATGACCTTCCACGACAGCTTTGATTCTCCATAGCAGACGAGAACACCGAAACTCTTTGCAGGATCTTAAGTGATGGTCATGGGTTTCGGCTGGCAGAGGTGACTCGAGGGAAATGCACTCGATGGAAGCTATGGTCTCATACAAAGTCTGGTCAAGGTTGGAGACGATGCCTAAGGCTAACTCAAAATCGGGCCTCGGAGGTTTTCCCCAACCGCGTAGGTCGAGCGAAAGTAGCAGAGCAGCGATTTGGTCCTTGATGGAAGGTAAGAGACTCGATTCCAGTTCCTCCAGCAGTCCGGCTTTCTTCTCCATATCATCGATCGTCAGTGTCTTTAGCTGCTCGCCGAATATCTGGTTCAACGAGAAATGATATCTGTGGACCAGACAGTCCAACGCCTCAACGACCAAATCTGCTATAATGCTCGAAAATTTATGGATTCAGTCGGCTGCTCGCTAGATGCCCTTGCAGATTAAATGAGTTGAAAAGTATTATTACTGACCTGTCTTTGAACTCGCGCTTGATTCCGAATCAGCCATCGTGTCCATTCTTCACTATTTCCCCCCTAAAGCAGCTGGAGCGGAGGCATTAATTGTTTGCCAGGCAATTGGGTCCTGGGACTACATACTCGGCCGTGATGTGGGTCGAGACCGGCTGACACAGACAATCCCGATTGGCACTGTATGGATGCCCATCGGTGGGAAACCGGCACCAATCAATCAGTTCAGCGCTGGATTCTCACTGCTACATATTAATGATGACTCAGCCAGTTCACCGGCCGAAAAACTCAATGAGCCCAATTAGTCAGCTCGGCGCTCCCATCTCTCACACCGGCGGTCCGTGGTACAGCTCTCGGCCCTAGGCTCTAACTCGTGTTGGCTGCTTGTTTGACAAAGTAGCCTAACAAAAAGTCACAACTAACTTACAAACTCTATAGATAAATTTTACACTGATTTTTCTTCCTTAGATAAATGTTTATCAGGCAAAACTCTGTGGACTGTGCAGAAATATTTATGTAGCAGAGGCAATCAATATTTATGCTGCAGCACAAGTCAACACTGTCAATCATCGACCCCTGTGCTTTAATGGCGACTTGAATATGTAATCCGACCGGCAATCACATTGGTCACGGGCTTGTAACCTCGGCTTAACAGACCTGAAAGTCAATCTTGGCATCTTTGATCAGGCTTACATCCGGCAAATTTAGTGGATTAATATTAACCTGGCAGGTTCACTCCTGACAGTCTAGCCAACAAATGTGAGTGCTCTTATAAACATATCTAACCCTTATAAGACTTTCTTGGGAGGCAGGGGTAGCCAAGCCATATTGGGTTGATGCCAGCCGCCCGGTGCCCACTGTCACAAGAAAGACGGTGGGATCATGTGAGGAAGGGGAGTCCATGCCTTAAGTATCTAGTCACTTGATGCCGATCAAGTGCTACCAATGGGCAAAGAAGAAACAGTTAGAAATACATTTTTTGGATATCACACAATAGTATATGGTTCAAAGCCAAAGGAGAAAAAGACACCATTCCCACTAATCAGCAGATCACATCTTTAATCAAGAAGTTAGGCCCAAGAAAAATTATACATAATAGCCAAGCAGTCATTCTTCTTTCACTTTAGACATCTGAGGGAATGTCAAAGCATCATGAAAGTCCAACAATGAGCAGCAGGGTAAGAACTAAACAAGAGTTCTTATTTCTACATGTGATATTGAATGTATTATTCTTTGTTATCTGACTATGGTTGCTCTCGTAATTCTTCATTTTCAGCTCCAGCGGAGCTAAGGGCACCCAAGGAATGATCACGAGCCCGATGCCATAGTTCAGTCAACTCAAGAAACCAAAGCTTGAAGGGACTTTCTTCCAAAGGAAACTTTTCCCACGTGTGGGGTAAAGGAATGAGATAGAAGGATAAGAGGAGTAAGGTAGATTCCAAGGTTTCGGTGAGTTTGTTGAAGGAAGCCCGAATCTGATCTTGATCAGTGATCACTCGATTCAACCGATAATCGATCCATAAGTTCTTGAGTAACCCTTTGAATATTTGAGCGATTATTAAAGGAGCTAGACGTAATCGATTGAGCGTTTTGCTATTGATCGATTTATCCATCGTGAACGGCAATTGGTTGGTGTAACTCTTTGAGATCTTGTGCAAGAATAGTCTGGTTAGCTTGATGAGCGGTAGAGTCGATCGAGCCCATCTCGCAATATCTTCTCTCTTCTTTTCATCGCCTCCACTATCAACCATATCCCCTCTCTGGCTTGACCCATCCGTAGGATGGGTGATAAGAGTTGTAAACTCTAGTACAGTATTGAGCGATTTTGTTGCTACTGGCCACTCTTCTTGAAGAAGCGCAAGATCAGATTTTGGTAGCATGTTGATGATCTGATCGATCAATCCAAGCGAACCATCTACGATCAAGAGTGTTGATTCCTTGGTCTTAGATATCTTGGTTTGATGTTCTGAGTCTTCTGAAGGACTATTTGAGAGTTGCCAGAGTCGGAGAAGCTCGATAGATTTCCCAAATAGATTCAACAGATTTCCGTGGACCAATGTTCTGAGTCTAGACCGTAGACACGAAAATCGAAATCGTTTGCAGCGGTTGAAGTGATGGTCATGAGTTTCGGCCGGCAGAGGTGATTCGAGGATAATGTTCTCAGCAGTATATACGACCTCTTTTAAAGCCTCATCGAAATTTGATGCGTTTCTCAAAATCAACTCAGGTTCTGGGTCAGGATGATGATTTCTAAGATCGTTGAGGCCGAGTGAGCGTGATAGAGTCGTGGTCTGGTGCTTGAGTGAGGGTAGAAGGCTTGATTCGAGTTGATTGATGAGGTCGTTTTTCTGGTTGATCTCATCAATCGTCAAGTCTGCTTCGTGATCGGAGGAAAGGTCACTGAGTGAATTACGATATTTGGTGTGGAGTAAGGCCAGGGTCTCGACAACTAGATCTAAAGAGGATTGATTGAGTAAGTTTCTCTTGATTATCTAAGGAGCAAGCTTGACTCACCTGTTCTCAGCTCTCGGCGCTTCTCCACTTCAGCCATTGTTGTCAATATGTTGGTTCTGTGGATGTTCTCAGTCGAGTGTTCCTTCTCGTTGGCGCTGCTGCTGTGTTGCAGATATCTATACCCCGATTCCCGATGCTCGGTCTCACTCCGACTCTGCGGTCAGCCGTACCGCCCCCCGGGGCACCAGTCCACATTCCCTGCTGTGGGGACCATCACCCACACAAATTTGTTTAGCAGAACAGGCTGTAGATGCCATCTCTGCAAATGCACCAACATGAGAGCTGGGCCCTATAACATACATACTTATCAATCAATCCAAGAGCCAACAAGCGAGGGTCACACAGTAGACATGACATACCTATTGAAGTAGAACAGGGAACGTTCCGACTCGTAACGGTCTTATCATCTCACTCATTGACAAAGATCCAATCAATCACAGCTCAATATTTGGGATTTTTGAGACTATCCTTAGTCTAAGGAACAGGGAAGTTTCTAATTCCAATTGTTTTTTTTGTTCTCTCTTTCTCTTTGTTCTTAGTCGAAAGTGTTATTATTTTTTAGATTTGCACGTTTTCTTCAAGTTCATGAGGAGAGAGAGGAGTGGGGAGGAGGGAAGGGTGATTTTAACTTTAAAAGATCCAACAAACAAGTTTTTTCTGGAATCTAAATCAACTCTTTTGCAGGAGACTAGAAGGTAACATTCAAGACTCAAAGGTCAAGCTAGCGCCGACCTTGTGAGCGTTAAGCCCACCGGATTTCTCGTCGTTGATGGATCCTCCACTGACTTGCTGGGTGTCGAGGGCTAGACCGAAGCTAACCTTGACGCCCGGTCGAAGTGCTTGGGTGTACCCTAAACCCAAGATCCCAGTGTTGTTGATCTTGGCCTTGATGAAGGAGGCGTTGTCAAGGTAGGCACGTGTGCCGACCTCGAGTGAGATGTTCTTGCTGCTCGATTTTGAGTCATAGATCCTATATTTCAACCCATGTTAGTATCAGCGCTCCCAAGACACAGACCATACAGATTACAGTCTATGAAAATTAAGACTGACGCCTTGGCACCGGCTTCGACGTCTCGGTTTACTTTGTGGTAGTACGATGCATGGAAGGTGGACAAATTCGAGAGACCATGTAAGGTGATGGCGTATTCAGGAGCCGAGTATCCGACGATAGCGTTGTATTTCTGAAAGGATACACTTGAAAATCAGCATTCTGAAGAAGGAGAAATTTGATCTTGAGGCGAGCTCACACTGATGGCAGCCTTTTGAACGTCATAGGTAGCGTCTCCTCCGACCAAGAAACCATCACGTCCAATGACAGCGTCCAGAGTGAATGAAGGACCCTAATGTGCAGAACGTTAGACCAAGATGGGCACTGAATCAAGGTCAAGTGAGAAACTGATGCTCACCCGGAACAAGTCAACCAATGTTCTGGTATGTAGACCGGGTTGCTTGTAAGTAGCTGTCAAGGCAGCGTTCTTAGCGTTTGACACGGGGTTCATGCTGGTAGCCAAATCCAATTTGAGACCTAAAGAACGATTCGGATCATTGCAGAACGATCGATCGAAAATACGTCAACCGATCATGACCCCCCCGAAAGCCAAGCTGATAGAGAAAAACTCGGTGAACAACATACCTTTGGCAATCTTGTTGTCGAGTTCGAATTGGGCTTTGACCAGGTTGGAAGTACTCCAGGTAGGAGTGAATGTAAGTCCATATTTCGGTAACAGATACTTGGCTTCAAGATCACCAGCAATGACACCGGATTTTCCGTCCCGTAGACCGGCAACCTATGTACTCCGATAGAGTACCAAGCAAAAGAGAAAAGTTGATAGAAAGATAAAAAAAATCGTAACAAAACGGAAGATAGAAGGAGGTGGGAACGTATGAATGCATGCGTATGATACGATTTTTTTTTGTGAAATTGATTATTATGAAAAAGTTTGGTCCGAGGATAATATTTTTTTGTGTGAGCGATTGAAACCAACAGTAGGTGGTGAATGCGTCAGACTAGACCTGATAGTGAATTGACTCGATGGACGGAAAAGAATAGATGCAGAAGATCGGCAGAGCTCGATTTTCTTGACACGCACTTTGAAAACCACGTTGTTGGGTGCTTTGGTCTTGACCTCGAGATTGGTACCAGAGATTGGGTAGTCCTTCCCAAGGAGGTCATTGGCTGCCTTGCCAAGGTCCTTGAAGCTGGGTGGGACGGGTTGAGTAGACATTCTGCTGGAGGGAGAGAAGAAGCATGGTAAACATAGAGCAGAAATATGACATTTGGGAGGCAGTTTACTTACTTGGTTAAGTTTTCTGGTTGGGTTTTCGATTCTCAAGAGTCTGTTCTATGAGGATGTGGATGTGGAATAGATCAGGGTGGCAATGGGATCGGACTGGCAGTGACGACTGGCCTCGGAGGGGATACAGGACAAGGCTGCTGTGCAGGAAGACTGCCTGCTGCGCAAACCGGAGCCAGCCGATTTCAAGCGACCACCGAGCTGCAACTGCTGCCGCAGTGACCCCAGACTTTCGAGAAAAGAAATGGAGACTCCAAGGGTATGATCTACATACTGCAGGGGAGTCACCACTTTACTCTGGCTCAGGGGATGCATCACCAGCCCCATTCGTCTTGAGCGGAAGAGTAAGCCAGGCTTCCTGCTCATCTATCAAAATTGATTCCCAATGATCCCCTGTAGTAGGAGGGCCCACAATTGATGGTGTTCTGCTATGTCAATTTCCTGATGAATATCGTGTAACCACCTCCTTGATTTATTCAACTCTACAGCTTTGCAAGTAGCTGTGGATTGGCCTCACAAGGCTTCACTGAGGGAATAACCAACCAACCAAGGATCCAATAGACTAAAGAAACAACACTGGGACTCGGAGCCATGGGAACTAGTAAGAACAGAGGGCTAGCAATCTAGCTGTACTTCGCCATCTCACCCTCCTCGGAGCAGCATCACGAAAATTCAAGGCCTGCCACAGAAGTGTCGGAGGATTTCAAAATATACTCTGCTCTTTCGATCAGGGGGCGAGCCTACAAACTGAACGAGTATTTCCACAAAGACTTATACATTACTCTCTAGCATATTGAATGGAGTATTTAAGATAAAATTGTTTCTTTAATAGATCAGTCAATTCTTACAAAAGCAACATAATTTACATCCCTTCACCATCTTCATCAATGTCATCATCCTCAGCTGAAAATGAGTGCTCCTCATCGCCTGGCATCTCCACGTGATCATCCTTCTCCAAAACTTCGCTATCATATCGAACTAGATCCCCAAACGCTTGTATTTGCTTCTGCAGCCGTTCGGGTTTGTCCAGACGTTCATCCAACCCTGGCACTTTCCTTTCCAGTTCCACAACAAATCGCTCAGCAAGCTCTTTCACGCCTATCGATCGACTGATCAACTTCTCCCTTGACGACTTGCTACCCGTTCCTTTCTCTACGCCCGCTTCGAACTTACTCAGTTTCCTATGAATACCTAAGGTGAGTCTGAAGTACCGACAAGATCGATAAATCAAGTGCAAAACTTACTGATCACTGATACCATACGCCTCTTTTAAGAGATCCCTCAACACGAATGCGATTCCCAAGACAATTGAGCTGTTGAAACCAGAGCTGACGGAGCAGGAATCGGTGCCATCGTGTTCACCCTCCTCCCGCCAAGCGTTCAAACTTAACAAGGCTTTTAGTGGATCACCATCAAGTAGCTGTAACGTTTGGTAGGCCGATTGCCCAACACTGCAGTTCAAACTCTCGATGAGCACCATGGCTTCTTCCTCAGTCTTCAACTCCAACGTCAACAGGGCTTCGGCTAGATATTGCTGAAAAGCAATGGTTCTGCGATCGACGTTGTCCGCCTGAGGATCGATCGAAAATGACTTGATGAGTGCCTTAAGGAATGCCAATCTCCACACCCGTTTTTCGCTCAAAAGGGTATACCAGGATGCTAGCACCGATCGGGTTGGATTGCCCAAATACCCTGACAAGAAAGATGGACATTCGAGAAGAGTTCTCGTCAATCGAGGGTTCTGGACGTCAGTTTGGCAGGTCACGTACCGTTTGCAAACGCGCTTGTTCCAGATGCCCTTCTGTGGCAGTCAAATACCTTGTTCATCGTCTCGAGAAAGCGACAGTGCACTAAGTTTCCACGTTGGATGTGGAGTAGCGTGTGCAAGGCGAAAACCTGTGAAGCAATCGTCACATCCTTCGAACTTTCGAGCGCAACCAGCACAGGCACGCATTCCAAGGGATGCGTTAATCCTTGCTTGATGGTAAAGGAAATAATTTCGACTGCTGTTTTCTGAATGTGCGGTTTGGTTGATTGGGCGAGAGTTGTGATTTGTGGAAGGTACCGCTGCACAATTGCTGATATGACACTAAGACGAATGAAAGAGTTGGTCATGTTCATGACTTATCCTCTTTTGGCTTGCTCAAAATCAAATTGAACTGACCCTGAATCAGGAAATGCATCGACATTGCCAATCAGCTGATTTACGTCTACTTCCTTCGTATCAACTGAATCGCATTTACATTTCAGCCCTTGGTGCAAATTGACAGCTGGATTTTGTCATTCTTACCAGATTCAACATCGCCTTGTCCTTGTTCAATCTGGTTTGAGATCGATTCTACTATCAGCTTAAGCAGCCGGTGCTGTAAATCGCCGTCGTTGTGATTGTTGAATACATTATCCATCAAATTTATTGATTCGTGGCGCGTCATCAAAGATGGAAAGGCTCGAAACAAGAAACCTGAGATCCAATATTTACATTCAAAATCGACATGTAGCTCAAGGAGGAGAAAATGATACTTACCAAGACATGTCAAAGTGATGTTTCTAATTTTTTGCGCGGATTTCGAATCATAAATATGCAATAGAAGAATGTAGGTGTGTACGTGAATTGCTGAATCCTGTGTTTTGTAGGACCAATGCTTCAGCATTTGTGGCAATGGTACTAGCTTGTCAATACCCTTAGTAAGAAGTCTCAACTTACCTGGGAGATCGTCTTTAATGCTTCTCGGACGCCTGTTTAACATGTATCGGGAAAGCGGCACATCACTTTTTGTGGAATTCCATGGTTTGTGAATGTCATGATAGCGATTCACATTGGTTGACTTACGTTCTTGTCCGGCGGGCAGCTGGTCTAATTTGCCGTATGCTACGACCGTGCTGACTAAATACATTAGGACAGGTAGTGATTTGGTATTGGAAATCACCGAGCCATTATCCAGTTGCTTCATTTCATTCCTGAGTCTATGCTCGCAAGCCTTGAATACATTTAGCAGCTGGTCATAGTCTCGCGTTTGATAGATCACCACTGCACAAAAACAAGCAATCAACTCTTGTAAAACCTACAGATTATTGACATTGGAGCGTTAGTTTGCCTTGCACAATATTGGGCCTGTGAACAATTACTGACAGCTCCTCCGCCGTTGAGATTGGGTTTGTTGACTAATACCAACAAAGCCCGCTGCAATTGCTCTCCAAACGTACTTGACGACTTGGGAATCAATGTCACACAGACCCGGAATATTTGAAGCAAGTACTGAACCATCATATTTTCACTGGCCTACATACCGGATGAAAAATGTGTTCAGCTCGGATAGCATTGCGCAAGTCCACAGGAAGACTTACTGTAGTCGCGCCCTTCAGGTAAGGCAGCAGCATCAGCGCTTTGTTTGGCTCTAGCAGCTTCGGAGAAGCGAACGTCAATATGCAAATCGTTTGAATGCACCCTACTTCGCTCTGGGAATAATAAATCAAGTAAGAAGATATCACGAGGAAGGTGATAGATTGCTAAGCGCACAAACGCTTGATCGCGAGCGGGCGCAACATCCATTAATTGGTCAATTAAGTGTTCCACAATCAATTTGCAGCGCTGGTCGAATTTCTGACGCGAAGCGTCACTTTGTTTGGCGTATTGTTTGGTGATCTAATAACAAAGGTGTTGCATGGTAAGTCACATCGCCCTATTGCTGACATTCAAGATCTGAGACTCAACAAATTTCATAACAGACTCGACAGGGGATGGCAGCTCTTTATAGGCAGCGGCAACTTTCATGAGAATTGAACTGGTCAAGCTGAAATTGAATGTATCACCAGTAGATTGGTTGAACCATAACTCATCAAGGGCATTCATCGCCAAGACCTAGAGCTTACCGAGTGTCAGCAATGTAAATCAACGGGGATGTTGAAGACTTACTTTCATGGAAGTTTCCTCATCATAAATTCTCGATATAAGGCGATGCGAAATATCAACTTTCAAATCTATCCACTCGTCCTGATCGAGAATGAGATAAATCGCTTTCAAGAGCTTGATCACCCTTTTGCGTACCGAAACGCCCTTGTCTGCAATTCGCGCAGATATCTGAGGTAGGAATGCCACGGCCAGATCAGGACGATCGACGACGTATTTCCCAATCAACTCGACCGTAGCGTCTCTCACAGCGGGAGAGCTATCGTGCATTCGGTTTTCTATAGCCTTTCTAACGGATTCCTATGATGTAATGCGGGGATGAACATTGGTGAGCAACTTGAACCTCAACTGCAGTCATGAGTGTCAGAGGTGGAGATGCACACCTGAAAGAACACGGTTTCGTCTTTTGCAACAACCAACGCAAGAGCCTTGATGGACTTACTGCGGAACGTGACAGAAGGAGAGGCCGACGTAGCCATGATGCGGTCCAGGAAGACATCAGCTAGGCCCTTCAAGCCTTGAATTTTTGAGATCGCTTCATTCACAGCTCCGATTGCCAATGCGGGGCTAAATTCATCACTATCGCAACTCATTCAGCATACTATCAGTCAAGCTTGCACGAGATGATCTCAGCATTGTGGAATATTATCTACCTGCAATCTCGACTAACTGTAGACGTGATGCGAGCAGGCTGCATGGATCCTAATTGGCGTATGCATGAATTCAAATGATCAAGAAACGCCAGTCGCTTGGAGCTCTGTTGCTTTTCCTCTTCGCTGATTTCTTGCCCCATCTCTGAATCTGTTTGGAATTGATCTTGTAAGCTTTGCAAGCTTGTTGAAGCATTGATCATCTCGCACATCCACTGGGCATGTGCAAAATCAGCTGCAGTCTGGAGGTAAATAATCAGCCAAATGTCCAAACATCACATTCCCTTCAAAGCAAGCAATGCTCACGTTGACCAGGTCACTAGATGTGTTCTTCACTTCCAAACTAGTCAGTACGGTTTTCTGGAGTTGAAACAGATGTGACATTGCTTTTTGATCCAGAGTCTTGATGATGGCCTGCAAGATAATCCTTCGAGATCAGTAATCAATCAATGTGACACTTAAGAGACAGTTACCTTGAATGGTAAGGATGGAGTCGCTTGAATTGGTGACGGCTCCAGTCGCTGCTCAATAGGCTCCATAAGCTTAGCAGTGATTGGACCAAGGTAATCAAGACACATGCTCTTGACAGCATTTGAATCTGCGGAGACCTTGCTCGACTCGAGTAAACCAATCTAATAGTTACAAAAGGTGCAAAGTGTGAGTATAAGGCAAAAAATGTTCATACGACAACAAGGACCAAAGGAAAGGAGATGAATCTTGAATTGTTTTAGCTATGGGGCATGACTAACATGAACACTTAGCGCTTACCATCGTCTTGCAGAATAACCCCAGCATGAACTCAGCCACCGGCCAATCCGGTAGAAAAATAACACAGATCAAGTCTTCAACTAGTTTATCAAACAAGATCCTGTACTGCGCTTCATGACTGGACTTTGTGCTCTTCCCGGATCTAATGTTAAAAGCAAGTAACAACACATGTCAGAAAGAAAGACCGGGTCTGAAACAAAATATGTGACTAACTTTTGCAGCAAAAACGACATGATTTTCTTACTTAGCTTTGTAGCTGCCGATATCTCGGGGTCGATGAATTCTTTGACGGAACCAAAAGCTGACGCGCTATCTGATTTTTTGGGGGCAGCTGAAGGTGAAGTAGTTAAATCCGTGGTTTCCGTAGTAGAAGAATCCAGAAAGCCTAGAGTCGATGAACTAAGTATTGTACCAACGCGTGACCTTGTCCCAGAGAGACAAGATTGCACGATGTGCAATAACAACGCCGAAAACGTCTGGATTGATTTACCGTTTGCTAAGCTGAAGAGTGCCCACATCAAGTAATAACAAATCATGAGCTGTTCTTGAATTGGCCTAGCTGAGTTTAGAGGATAGGTGATGGGGAGAAAAGACTCACTGGTAAACTGCCTTGCTGCCCCGGGCCGATTGTTCTGGGAGATTGAGGATGGAGTTCAAAATTTCTTCGATAATCCAGCTTCTCTGGTCAGGGTATTTGGACGACACCTATGGTGGCCAATGTAACAATTAGCATAAGTGAATTCCGGACGATCCAGTAAGAGCATTGTACATTACGGAGAAGTTTCAAGCATTCTAAGCGCATAGCTTTCATAGAGCCATTGTCCTGCGAAGTCTTTCTCGATTTTGTATTGGAGCTCGGTAGAATAAAAATGGGCCCGCAGTCAACGAAAAATGGTGCAATTGTAATGTAGGAGACAATTGCGATAATTGATTCCGATAGATCAATTTGTTTCACAAGAACATCGATCTTCGGCACGATTGATGTCGAGAAAAATGAGAAGCTCTGTGCAATATAACTAGAAATGACTTTTGATTGGCTCATGATTTGGCGGAGCTTTTGTAAGTAGGCTTCGATCAAGGTAAACCAAAACATGTAGGGCAATAAGTCAAATGCAGTTGAATGAAGTGGGGAAATAAAAAGTGACCAACCGTCCAGAGTTCCTTTCTGATTATTGGCTTCGACGAAAGGAAAAATCACAGTGTTGAGCTGATCTTTTGTGCCCTTCACGAGAGACCTGATCAATTCTTCAGAGTAAAATTGCTTTGGTAGATGTTCGTCGTAAGCCAGAATTGCAAGGGCCGCATCAGTTGAATGCAGCGCAATGACAAGATCCTTCAGACGCTCCTCGATCATATTTATGTGTGCTTCCTCGTGCTCAGACTCTGGTTTTGAGTTTTGAGGTTTTGTTTGGCCATCCACAGAATCTTCAACAACTGTCTTGAGCCGCCTCTTGGAAGAGGGTTTGGCCATGCGACTCTTAGATCCTGGTTGTTTGGAAGACGGAGGGCGACCGGCGAAAGAATCAGAGTTTGACGATCGACGGGGTGTCTGCTTTTGCTTCAGCTCAGCTGGGATAATGCTCAAGTCTTCCACAATCTTGACTCCTCGCTCTAGAATCTTAATTAACCGGGTCAAATCAGCGATTGGCACTTTTTCAATTGCTTCTCCATTCGTCTGCTCCAAAAACGTTTTGATGTTGGATAAAATAGGCGGCGAAAGGATGAATTGAGATTCGAGTGTGCAGAAATACTGAGCAGGAACGCTCATATCGTCTGCTTCGAGAACATCTTCCACCAGACTAAGAAATTTTTGCGACGGGTCTGATCATCAGGAGGAGTTACAACTTCATATCAGCCCAGGGGAAAAGAAACACGAGTCTGGCTGAAGCATGAATCATAATGAGACACCAACCTTGGTTGGAAACGGGAGTACTTGAGGCCTGTGATCGACAATGAGTTCCGGTTGCGCTGGGTGGTTGGGATGAGGGGACGTAAGTGGAGGATGGCTTGATCGGAGAAGAACTGGACACGGTAGTAGGTGTATCATTTGTGACTGACCTGAGTGAGGTTGGGGTCTTGCCTGATGGGGGAGCGATACGTTTGGCGTCCTTGTTAGTACGTCTTTTTTTCGGAAGGTGCGGAGACGGTAGAGAATTTGGTTCATTGGATTGGTTTGTTGATCGAGAGCGATGAGCGGAGCGAGTGGCGAGATTCATTGCCAGTGGGTCGGGTGATTCGGCTCGTTGAGAGTCTTCGAATGGTTGCTCTGATTGAATCAAGCCCTCGGTACTGAAGGAAGGGCGTGAAGGGGGTAAGGGAGTAGCGTGAGACTGAGCTTGTGATGAATGATGTTGTGCTTGCTGGGCCTGATGATCTGGCTGTTGCTGTCTGAGTTGTTGCTGCTGGTGATGGTGATGGTTGGCTTGATTGAGCTGCTGTTGGAGTGTTTCAGTCACAAATCGCCTGTAGAATGACTTGATTTCGACTGGGTCGGTAGTTTCTTGAAGAGGACTGTCGGAGGCCGGTCGAGTATCTGATAGAGGAGACGGTGTTGGTATCTTGAGTGTGCTGGCATGGGTAACGGCGGGTCCTGAGGAGCTTGAGATAGCCGGATGGGGGTCTAGACCGCGTGAGGGGAGGGGAGAGTAGGGGAGGTCCTTGAACAACCTGCAGATGTGATGACCATCGGGACGGTCAAGAGAGGGAAACTCGTACAATGGTCAGGCGAGACCGACTGATGAAGTTTGGGCTGCTTAAATACTCCATACTCACAGAGGCTGGCTGGTATGCTGCTCAATCAGCCGGTTAACTGGCCCGAGCTGCCGGTGGACCCAGTTCAGCTGGTCGATCGAAAGCGGGGGCGAGACCATCGAGGATGACGAGCTGGACGCATTCATGTTGGCTGACTGGACCAAACCACGATCAACAAGCGAAAGGCTCTCATGGAACGGCGCGAGTGGATCGAATTCACCGGTCGGATGAGGATCGGCGACAGAGAGATTGCTGATTAACTGGCTGACTGGATTATTACGATGATCATTAGAGTAAGCCAAATCGAATTAGTCAATCAGATTTCCATCATGCATTCAGCAGCAAACCCAATCGAAAGTCAATCTAACGCTTCGGCTCAACTCAATCACCATAAGCCATTCAACACTCACAGTCTGGTCTCAATAGAGTCGTGCCGATCGGATACCGACTTAACATTTCTCGGGCTGCTCGAGCAATATCAGCTTGCACCGTGGCCGAGCTATGGTCCGGCAGGATTGGAGAGCTGAGCTGAGGATTCGGATCAGTTCGGTCGACTGGCGCTGAATCACTCGGTGGGCGATTCTCCTCGTCGTTGGACCGCGCCGTTCGCTCCATATTGCTTGATCAGGCGGGTGTCGCCTGGTGATTGGATGTAAGGGAGGACTATTGGTCTTGAGCCGAATTGGTGAGAAGTGGAGATGTTCGTCGTCGAGTTGGGTGGTTGATGTTCATTCTAATCTGAAAACGTCCGAGAGGTTGACCCGCGTCGATTCATCTTGATCCAGACTTCAGCTAGAAACTCACCTGGAGAAACTCGTCCAGGATGAGATTGATTGACGGCGGACGCGGTCCTTGCTGGGAAAGTCACCCCAAAAAAATCGATCTGCACCATGCATTCAAATAATATGCATAAACGCCTCTTCCCCTCCTTCAAAAGCTATTTTCATTTATGAGTTTCTCTCCTTGAAGGATTGGAGGTAGGTTATAACCAAAACCCTGGACGTGTCGTAGACGATGCATAAGCTACTGAAGACCTTCTCTCAACACAACTGCGAGCTTATCCGCTGCGAATTATCAGATGCCAAGTGCGTGGTTCAAGTCTTGATTAACTTCAAGTTGCTAATTAAGCTGACTTATCATAAGGAGTTGCTTCATCCGATTTATGCCAGAGGAGTCACAATCCTTCAAGCTTTTACATAAAATAAAACCCAATCTATGAATGTGCGGTGTAATTAAATTTTGAGAGCTCTCGTCTAGAGGGAAATCAAATGCCTTCCAAAAGACGAGATATAACCAATGCCAATCATGTTTTGATAAATTAGCAGAATCATGCATCAAGTATGGAAGAGTCCTGAATTGGAGGCATGAGACTGAAAGAAAGTAAATTAAATGGAAGAATGCATTATAAAATAATTAACCAGGATACTTACTGGGAACAGATTTGGGAAGGATTGCTAGAAATCTAAAATATTTCACCCAAAGTCAATCAAACTGACATGTTTTACAGACTACACCAGTATCATTTGCCTGGATTGGGACTGCCTCAAATGATTCCATTCACCATCACAAGAACCCCAGAAGTCTAAAGACGTGGCCAGCTTCAAAGATTAGAAAACATGCATTATCATCATTACCTTGTTCCTACTCCTGTCACCTCAATGTAGTAGTAGTAGTAACTGTAACACAAATAACCTACTGCTAAATTTGTGCTGCTCAGTCAAATGAATGTGGAGAAAAATGGGTATGATTCATTTCTCCAACAAGTCCATGTGCTACAGAGTTTGTCCTCAAAAAACCCTGTTTCCAAGTTTGCATGCTACTCGTCACTTCTTTCAAAAAAAAGGAAATGAGGATAGGCAAGAGTAAAACAAAATATAGGTAAAGAGGCCTTCCTCTTTCTGATTGTGGCTATGTATCATTTTGACATTGGTCTAACTATCTTCAAAGTGCTATCGTGTGATGTGGGACAAAGCGATGATTCAAGTCCTGTCTGTCTCCCTCCCCAAAATCATTAGCTTCGCGAGTTTGTTAGAGGCCCGCAGGTCACTTCAAAGCCAACAAACCTCGTTGATTTTCATCGCTGACCTCTCCTAATTGGCAAGACCCATCAATTCCCTGAATCTGGACCAGCCTGGCACCGCATCCGCTGTTCGACCCCAGCGATTTGCGTTGCGATTAACCGCTGCACCGCTGCAGCAGGTAGCGATGAGACTCAACGTTCCAGCCGTCCTCCTCGCAGCCCTACTGCTTTCAACATCCCTGGCTATGCACCTCCCAGCCCAGCGTGATGTGGTACCCAGTTGCGGCAGTGGTCTAAGCTTGTGCGAAATTCGTGGATGTGGTCATTGCGGCGGTAGAGATCACAAAACTAGTCAATGTCCTGAACTACCTCTCAACTGAAAATACAAAAAAACATAACACTATATATTAGAAAGATGAAGGATGAAGAATTCATACACCATAAAAAAAATGAAAACACACCAAACAACATGAAAAATGGACCATAAAAAAATGAAAACACATCAAACAACACAAAAAATGGAATAGTAATACAACACAGAACAAACCAAGAGCACCTTTCACTGTGTGCAACCGTGATGCATGTTTCGCATTCAAACCCAGCAAGATTTGGAGCAGCTACGCCATGAAGTGGGATCTCCTTTTTTGGTGCAGCTGTTGAAAATAGGGTTTGATAGCAAGTTTGAAGTTCCTCAATTCCAAAGAATCCTAAGATGATCCTTACAGGTTTTCATCAGTTTTGTCACCATTAGACTAGATTGTGCAATTTGGAGCTAGGTGGGATGTGGAATTACTGTATTCTAGTAAAAGTGGCTGTGTTTTTGGGAGGGCTTCTGTTGCCATCTACAGGGCTGTAAATACCACCCTAAATTCCCAATTAACACACTCATCATAAATCTGACCAGTGTACCAATTTCCAAAAGCTTGTGACCATGAGAAATTATTATATATGACTTTTCTTGTTCTAAAAAATAGATTTGAAGGGTGTAAATCAAAAATTAGAATGCCTGCAAATCCAAATGGAAGTCCTCCATCCTCAACAGTTCATGTTATCTCTTTGCCAGTCTCACCTCAAAATATTGAATTAAATTTCATCTAGATGAAGAATCATTTTTCTTCATTTGTTATACAGTTCATTACTTGAGTTTTGTGATTGGAAGATGTGGAGGGCCTGAAAAAGGGTTTTTTTCTGGATGACCAGTATTTGAGGTCCGATGTAATTGATACTATAGAAAGACTACACTGCAAGAAAAATTTATGCAACTGTTAACAGTTGACATGTGATATCTATTGCACGTCAACTGCATACAGCACCAGGGGAAATTTCAGGGCACTGGTTGCCCAGTGACTGCATGTCACCATAAAATCAAACAAAAATCACAAAAAATCACTTTGGTAACGAACCTGAAATTCCCATATTTTTCACAGTATTGGGAACTGATTTTCTCATATCTTTCACTCAACATTCAGACAAAATTCAAAATAAAATACTATCAAAGTCACTAGAGTTTCCTCATGTGATGAGTTTTTTATTTCACTTCTAATTTACAGAAATAGTAAATAGAATCAGCACAGAATGATTTTTTCTGCAGCCCCAGCATAAAAGTTTGAAAGTCTCTTGATCAGATCAGGATATTCTTTGTAGATTTAGATCCTCTCACACCAGTCAATTTCATCAAACTTATCATTTCCAGTTCTAAATCTAATACTTTCTCAGATAGATTCTGGAATTCATTTCCCCTAGTACAATAAAAAAATCCTCAAAATTACCCAAGTTTTAATAAAATTCAAAAAAAACTGTAATTTCTTCATATAAACACAATACAATCAACAAGATGAGCTTTAAAAAACTCAATCATGAGACAACAAAATTTCTAAATTGAATTCACGAGAGGATGATTTTTTCATGGGTCCTATGGGACGGCGGCAGAGAATCATGAGAAAAAATGAAAAATACAAGGCTGGGAGGGTTTTCCTCAAAGCCTGAAGACTATAAACTCATAGCAGCTCATTGGGAGAGAACCCTCCCAACGAGCTGGTTTCAAATCCAGCCCATTGGGAGGAAACCCTCCCTATGAACTGGGCTTAAGACCAGTTCATCAAGAGGGTTTCCTCCCAATGAGCTGGATAAGACCAGCTCATCAATAGTTTTTCCTCCCAATGAGCTGGTCTTGAGCCCAGTTCACCGGGAGGGTTTCCTCCTGATGAGCTGGTCTTAAGCCCAGTTCATCGGGAGGGTTTCTCCCCAATGGGCTGGATTTGAAACCAGCTCATTGCAAGGGTTTCCTCCCAATGAGCTGCTACACAGTCCAGCTCATTGGGAGGTTTTACTCCTGATGAGCTGGTCTCAAGCCCAGCTCATTGGGAGGGTTTCCTCCCAATGCGCTGTATTCAAAGCCATCTTGTTGGGAGGAAACCCTCCTGACATGAACCTATGAGCTTATTGTCTAAGGCTGGGAGGAACCCCCTCCCAGCCTTGTTTTTGTTTCCTTTTTTCTCAGGATTCTCCGCCGCCGTCCTATAGGACCCATGCCTGGGTCCTATGGGATGGCAGTGGTCCTAAATGCATATGTGTACATATGCATTTAGGAATCTTTGACGTGCACTGTGCAGGCCTGCACGCCGGTATACACTCTGTAGATTGGTGTGCGGTGTTAAGCTCAAAAGTGTTCGTGAGAACCTTTTGCTGAGTTCGGAAAGGGATGTGTGAGGTAACCTCTGCCTTTCCTGTGTACTACACTAAACAAGACCACCAATCTTAGATTGGCAGCTTTTAATTAGTGATAGTGGAGTGTATCAAAAGATACTCTGTTGTTTAACAGGTGGACAGGTGCAAAAATGGGTTGTTGTTATGTGTAAAGATGTTGTAATAATTGTATGTAAGGGTTGTTATAATTGTAAAACCAAAATATTGGGGAACAAGTAATATTATGGAGTGAGCAGTGATTTGCCTGTTATGTGGGGAAATGTCTGCAGGAAGTCTGCTGGGGAGAAATTACAACTGGGAGGAAGGGCCTCCTTATATAGACAACAATGAGGTATTTTGGCTCCAGGGGAGCCAGGAATGAGGGATTTTGGCTGGTTGTACAGCCTTACATGAGGGAATTTGGCCAAGATGGAAGAATACATGAGGGGTTTTGGCTGGTGGTACAGCCTACACGATGTGATTGGAGAAGTTGAGTGGTTTCCATCAGATTGACAAGCTGTGCAACAGTTGCTATGCAACCTAGCAACCTGCAGGCTGTGTTCTGTAAGCCGCATGATGTCATCCTGTATTTGAGGCTGTACGCATCACATGACAGGTTGCCAAGGTAACCTGTACGCTGTGCCTGCATACTTCCATTGTACTTGATTGAGATGTACAGATGCCAGTTCACATGTCCCGGAGGGGTGAAATGTGTACCTGAATCCTTGTAACATGTAAGGGTGCTTGACCCCCCTACCTGTGAGTAAAAGAGGGGTGTAACATGCAACACAGGGGGGTTACATGTGTCCAAGCCTGCTCCTCTAGGGCAATTTTGGCCCTGGAATCCCTTCCTGGAGCCATATTTGTTGTAATATTATTGTATATACAAGAAAATATAAAATTTTTGAAGTGGTTGGATGGGAACCCATAAAGTATCCCACATCCTCCCCCAACTTATTGTCTGTCCCCAGACAATTCCGCCAAAAAGCCGTCGTCGTGGGCATTCTGCGCTGCAGTGTTAAATCCATTCCATTTAAGCTTAAAAATATTCACAGTTATCTTAATTGATTTTCAGAGTTGTGTTTACCCAGTTTTTCAAAAACTAGGCCACACTCTGCCTGTGTACCCCCCTTTTTGCACTTTTGTCATCAGGGGGGTCTTTGTTGTTTCTCACTTTGTGGGGTGATTGTTTTTTTTTTTTTTTTTTTTTTTTTGCTTAGTGGTCCGGA